CCCGCCAGTGGGAAGAGGAGGCCTAGTGCCTCTGGGTCTCCAAAAGCTCATTTTTCATGACGACATCTCGGTGACATACTGGAGGAGCCAGGAGCACTGCACCAAGAGGAAAGAGACCTGAGGCACACGCTGGCTCTGCTGAGTGACCCTGAAACACGCCCTCCAAAAATGTGAGGGCCCCGCATGTGAGATGGGGGTCCCTGAAAGTGGTTCAGGGCCATATTCACATCGACTCACACAGCGAGTTCTCCTATTCAGTTCCCTTCTGATCTCTGATCCCATCACACAGCAAGGCTCAGCTTTGGTGCCAGTTTGTCCTTAAGCTGCTCAAGCCCTTGCCCCGCTTGTCTTTTGAACAGAGAGGGTGGGCACCAGGGTCACAGCCTCCAGCTCTCAAAATCTCTAGCTAGGACTTAATAATGTTTTGATTTCTATAGACTATAGTTTAACTATTACCTGCTATTTATAATGGGTTTTGCTTTCTCATCAATAGTAGCGACAAAAGCCTCCTTTCGAAAATAAATTTCAGTTTAATAAGTCAGTCTGTAAAATATACGAAGAGGCCAGTCAGTGGCATTGTAGTTAAAGCAGTTGGATTCCACATGAACAACTACATGGTTTGAGTCCCAGACCCGGAGGCTTGAAAATCAGGCTGGGCGGGACCAGCAGGTGGCATAATGATTATGTTACTGGACTCCCACATAGTAGATGGTGGTTTGAGTTCCGGACCTGGTGGCTTAAACTAATGCTGGGTTCATGTGCATGCGTGCCCAAGATCCCAAGAGGAGAATGGAAGAGAAGGGACTGCAGAATGGCCATCCCCCCTGGGGGGTGACTTCTCACTTTCTCTCTGTCCCTGTCTGACTTTCCCATGAGCAGACATGCCCTACAGCAAAAACCTCTCTTCCAAAAAAAAAAAAAAAGCCAGGCATGTGTGCATGCATGCCCAAAATATACCAAGTAGAGAATGGAGGTGAATGGATTAGAAGGTGCTCTCTCATTTTCTCTCTCTCTGGCAAGCCTATGAGCCCCACAGCAAAAAAAAATAATAATGATAAAATAAAATAAAATAAATATATATATTATATATATATAACATTATATATTAATTTACATAAAAAGATTACAATTGGTATAATCTCTATATAGGTCGATATAACACGTCAAAACTATGAATGTACATACAAGACAGGTAAAGCGACTCTGTGCTGCCAGATGTCCTATGGTGATCGCCCCGAGGGAAGGGAAGTTACTGGGAAAGGGTGTGAGGGTGGCTTCCGGTTGCCACTGTTGGGTCCCTTGCTCAGGGGCTGATAGTGCAGGTGTGCTCATTCCCTTTGTGAAAACTCTTCAAGCTGAATGCACTTAGGGTGGCTATCTCCCCACATCCATTACCCAGCAATTCTGTTTCTGGAACTCACCCTGCAGACATACACACAAATGCAAAATGACACTTTCAAAGACATGCACTGTGTCACTGTCCCAAGTAAAGAGATTGAGAACAACCTAAGAGTTCCTCAGCCAGAGACTAAGTAAATCTGAACGCGGCCTGGGGCAAAGTCTGTGCAGTCCTCAGACTGACTGAGGCAGCTCCTGGCAGATCTCCGAATCTACATGAATTTAAATTTAAGTAGAGGTCCCTGGTAGCCCAGTGGTTAAGGGAGCCAGCTCCCACATGGCTAACTTGCAGTCTGAACTCTACCCCCGGAGGCTTGAGAAATACACTGGCCACACGTGCCTGCATGCCCCAAATCCCACAAGTTGGAGCAATGGAGCGGGGGAAAGGATCATGGCTTGGCCACGCCACATGAGGGATGCTTTCTCTCTCTGTCTCCCTCTCTGGTGATCGCGTGTGCACATGTGCATGCATGTGCGCACATATGCACGCTGACAATTAAAAATAAAAGGCAAAACAAAAATAAATCTAAGTGGAAAAGGAGTTCTATACAGTTCTGTGTATAATGTGCTGTCATATGAAAAACATACATGTATGATACATGTCTGCATGTGAGCCATCTCAGAAAGACTCACAAGAAACTGATAGTAGAGGTTCCCAGTGGTCAGGACAGGCCAGGAGAGAGGCTTGTCACTGACCACTGACATTTCTACTTTTCAATTTTGTACCATGTCTGTACATTTCCTATCAATAATCATTTTTAAAGCCAAAAGTCTTACAGCACATAGCTACGATAAAACTGTAACTGCATCCCTCCTCCCACACACACACCTAAAGAAGAAATGAAGGAATTCGCACTTTGGGATTATAAAGTAAGTAACCCTAGCTGCCGTCTTCCCCCCCACCCTTCCAGGGATGGCACCAGAGATAGTGGTTTCCTGTAAGTGGTTTCCGATTAACAGCAAACCCAATCCAGGACAAATGACTTACTCACACTGTGCCTCTGCCCTGCAGCCAGACTCTGGCACCTGGAGCTGCCCTGGCAGAGCTGGCAGGTGACTGAGTTCTTGGCATGGGTAGGGAGATCTTTAAGAAATTACTTCCAGGGCTGAGTCAAGGATTCGGTAAGGCAAACTTCAGTTGACTAAAGAGGAAGGCTTCCAAGTTCTGAGCTCCATCCTGCACATCTCTGGGGGCTGCAGAGGACAGAGACAGAACAGGCCTCGAAAACTCGCGCTGGGTTTTATCACCTGGATAGTTCACCTCTGTGCAGCACTCTTTTTGCTCACAAGTCACTCATCCTGAAAACAACCCAAAGTGCAGGACTGGGTACCACTTACCCATTGCACAGATGAGAAGAGGTATGGGGAGGTTAAGAAACTGGTTGATGATTACACTTCCCATGGAAGGGAAGAGTTTCCTCTTTCAACTCTGACCTGAGGTCAGACAAGGGGCAGGCAAAGAATCCCTGGAGCCCTAAGGGACCTGCAAGACCACCTATTGCGGCAGCTTTCAACCCTGACTCCACTCTAGAGCTCATGTACCTAGGGAGTTTATGTAAATCTGAATACTTGTGCCAAGGCACAGACATCTATAGTGTTTTTAAAAACTCTCCAGCTGAGGGCCAGCAGGTGGCATGGAGCTTAAGACAGCAGGATCCCACATAACGACTACACAGTTCAAATCCTGGAACTGGCGACTTGAGAAACATGCCAAGTTTGTGTGCGTGGCAGGAACCAGCAGTTAGCGTAATGGCTATGTCGCTGGACTCCCAGGTAGTCGACCGCGGTTCGCGCCCCGGACCTGGTGGCTTAAAACTCACGCCGGGCACGTGTGCGTGCGTGCCCAAGATCCTGGGAGGAGAAGGGATTGCGGCGTGACCATCCCCCCTGGGGGGTGATTTCTCACTTTCTGTCTCTGTCTCTCTCTCTCTGTCTGGTGAGCGCACGCGCCCTATAGCGAAAAACCTCTCCAAAAAAAAAAAAAAGTTTGTGTGCGTGGGTGCCCAAAATCCCAAGAGGAGAATAGGGCAGAAGGGACTGCAGTGCAGGCACACACTCAGTGGGAGGGGCTAGAGCCAGATGACAGAACTGGCAGCTGGCCTCAGGCTGGATTTCTAGATGAAAGGGTCCATTAACAGTTTTGAGGCTCCCAGCCCAAGATATCTCAGTGAGTCAGTAACAGAGCAGGACTAGAACCTGGATCTACAAGGTCACACTTACAAGGGGTCACATGAAAGGCCAGCCTTGATGGCAAATCTAACAGGTCCTGCTACCAGAAGAGACCTGCAGGGGGTTAAGGAGGAAACCAGGAGTGAGTAAGAGTATGTCTGTTGGGGGAGGGCCATGGGGTGTCAGTGACACCTCTGGGCAAGTCCACCCTTGTGACATAAAGGAGGCAAGGGGCTATTCTAGAGAAGTAGGGATGGAGCTGGCCTTAGAGGATGCCCTTCTAGTGTAGTAACCCAGTCTCTCGGAGCAGCTTACACCACATGAGTCTAGATTCCCTGCCCAAGATGACATCCAGCTAGCCTAGTGGTTAAAGGAGCTGGATCCCACATGGCCAAACACAGTTCAAATCCCAGCCCTGGTGGCTTGGAAAACACAAAGGACAGGTGTACAAGAAAGAGTTGTGGCATGATCACACACCAATGAGAGGGTGGCTTTTTCCCTCTCTTTCTGTCCCTCTCTGGGAGCACATATGCCCTGTAGCAACTGCAAATGAATAATGGTTGACATTTCTTGAGCTCTTCACTGGTCTCTGGGGTAATCACTGTACTCGGTCTATTTCAGCTCCACAAGTATCCTCAAAGTTGAAAATAATGACTGTCTACATTTGCGGATGAGGGAACGACAGCCCAGAGAGATGAAGTGATCTCCCCAGGATCACTCAGCTAGAAAGCGGTAGTGGCAGGATTCGAAATCTGGTTCAAGTCCAACCTCTACATCCTGTTCCCCAGCAAGGCAGAGAGGAGGTTGTGTCCAGTGGTAGAGGAAATAGAAAAGAGCGT